ATGCCGGCGAAACGTCTGGGAATGTACCACGTCCACGTTCCGACTCTGGAAATAATTATGCATACAATGGGCTCAGAAAACGTCTGGGAATGTACCACGTCCACGGTCCCACTTTGGAAATAATTATGCATACAATGGACTCAGGACAAGGTGCGTTTCTATCAGTCTTCCTACCATTATGACCAAGTTGCGAAAACAAGGTCAAACAACTTCTATACAACAAAAGGATACACCATAAAGCCAAGAAACCATCTTCTAGCCAGATACCCGAAGAATAAAGAGCATCTTTTTTCCTCTGCATTCAAAATGCAACATGCTTACACAATTCCTTATTTAAACAGAAACAAAGAACAGTGAAAACGAATTTTTTCACGTTTCATTGCTAAATTTATCAAAATCAAAACAAACGTCATGATAATTTCCAGCATCGGAGTGCAACTAGTCAAGCTCCGCACCAAGACTACAACTGGTCAAGGGGAATCTACCAGGTCCGAGCTTCGAGTCCGGACAATCTGTCTTCACCCTAGTCGGCCTGATAACACGAGAAATGCTCAAAAATGAGTTCAAACTACTCCCACCACCATCTTGGTCTTGGTACTTTCCCTTGTTCCCAATTCTCTGTCCATTCCAATCACGACGAACTATTGTCCCTCGCCTTTAATCCGATATGAAGTTTTATTTTATGTAAATTTCAATGTGAATACTTTTTGTTTCTTTCGGTAATTCTTGACTAAAAATCTACTCAGCCTAGGTCGCTTAGATGATTTAAAAAAGGATATTTGGATTTTTTGTGGCTTTCAGCTGTCACTTTTTTCCCATAAACGAAGAAAGCATCATCTCCTCGACTGGGTTTCGAGTCTTTTGAGGCAAAGACGTAGTTCAGCTTGTCCTTCTTCATTCTCTTCTTTGGTTATTCGGTTGTACCTGCTCGTCGGGGATGCATTTGTGTGGGCATCCACGAATGCAATCAACGTAACTTAAAACGATTTTTGAAGCAAGATCGTGACTTGGCGAGCGTCAAATCCACCAATCACAATGTAACTTGTGATCGTGTTGCCAAACCACCAGAGTGAAACGTGAAAATTGAGGCTGTATCTTCGACTCATCGTTGGTAGCCCAAAGAGTTGGGATTGATTGAAAAGATTTGTAAAACGACTTGACACGAGTTATTAATTTCAGCTGCATTCAAGCGTGTAATGACAGTTTTAGAGTTACCAAACTGTTTCTCCTCATCTTCATCTCCCTTTCTTCCTTCAAACGATCTACAACTGCCTCGGGTCGCAATGCCAAGGCCGCCTTCAAGAGGCAGACGGACAGGCCACCCTCACGTCAACATGCCAACAAACGTAAACGACTCGGGCATTTCGGACCCACCAATCAGAAAGCGGAGCCTTCTTCGAGGAGCCGACTTAAAGAGGCAGAAAACATGTCCGAAAATGAAGCAGGTAAGTGTACAGTCAGCATTTTCAAATTCTTCTTCTGTACTTACAATTTCATGCTTGTTTGGGACATAAATAAGACTTCTAGTCACCACCCTAGGCCGCATAAGCCGATAAAAATGAACCGAAAGTGTAATTTTCCCAAAAATTAGATGACCAAGCTTCGTAACGATAGTGAATTTTCCTTTTATTTGCTTCCATACAGTATTCTATACAAGGCTAGACTGCAGTGAGGACAGTGTCTGAAATGGTCTCATCCACGGCGATAACGGGAATCGAACCAGTGTAGTGTATTGAATATTTTCGACCCGTTCCACTATATGAAACTATCACGAGTTCCCAGTCTTCTCATATATCACAATGTATAGGGGAACTGTCGCCGAGCGAAATTTTATTTTGCCCATTCATTCCAACACTTTACTGTTAATTGTATGACGTAGTATATTATAGACAATACTACTTATAAGTCTGGTGAATTGGTAACAGGTTAAAATCATGAACCGCATACACGCATTTTATCCTTAAACTACCTTAAGCAATCCCAGGAGATAAAGTTCTAGAACTAGAAGGTTTATTCGAGATTTTTTTGATAGTCTCGAAGTCCACTTCCTGCGAATGTATACATGAAATTATCAATGACTCTTACATATCTACTGCCGCCAAGTCATTATAAAATGGGCTTTCTCTCACACACACTGCTTTGTATCAAACTACTTAATTCAGTCAAGTAATTTGCTGTCATTTTTTTGTGATTAGCTAGGAACAAGCTTTGTTATTTGATTTAGGCGCTAGCAGCAAGTCCCTTTTTATTCGTCGACACAGAGTCAGACAAACGACTACTTGGTGGTAAATGCCCTGACTATAACTCAGTTTCGACTCCATTTGGAGATAAATTTTTTTCAGACGGCTGACAAACTGATCCATAATTACTTCTTATTCTTGTGACTCAAGACAATTCGATTACTGATACTACTTTGACTATTGCTTACTACTTTTTTTTGGGTGACATTATGGAGGCTTTAGAGCTATGCGAATTTTCACGTCTTACTTTGTTCCTTCTACATCTGATGGTAGCGTGTGCTTGCTAAAAGTGGCTTCAATAAAGGTGGTTATGCTTTCAACGAATGTAGAACATATTATACTTGTTTTTAGCTTTTACAGAATTACGACGAGATAATTCAACGGGCTATTTTTATAAAGCGAAACATGTCTTCGAAGTGCAACATCTTTACTCATAAGCATTTACCGTATCGGTAGAAATCCAGGACATTAAGCAGACAGAAGCCTATCAAACAGTGAAATGTCGCAATAAGATTCCAAAATTAGGAATGCCAAGTAAGAAAAATTGCAGCCAGCCTTCTTTCATGTCTGTAGACCTGTTTGTCACAGCATGGCAAAGATCACGCCAAAGACTTCTTCGAATAGAGCACCAGTTACAAGTTCTTCTTTACTTTCCAATGAAGCGTCCTTTTTAAACGAAATGAAATTGAAAACATGATACATCTTTTTGTTTCCCTTCCATCGAAGTGAAGCGGGCCAGGTAGGACGTCTGATGGTGATCTCACAGACTGCATCCTGGTCAGTGACTAAGACACTTGTTGATCCTATTTCCCAAATCTCGGCCAAATAATGCCTAAGCCGAAGTCAGAGGAAGAGCCAATTTACGCACTGACTGGTGGAGGTATCCAGACATAATTATCCTGCGAAAATAGGTTTTGCTACCTCTTCCATATAATAAAGATCACGTAATAGGCCTCGGTAGCCTTATTGTAGTCGTACATTTACACACACACACGCACACACAATCCAACACAAAGTGACGCAAATCTTTTGGTCTTGTACCCTTCAAGAGGAAGCACTCTCTTAACTAATTACGTAATATTTTCAATGTGACTATGATGTAATGCTATCAATAAGTATTGAAGAATAAATTAATCGCACGACTCGTGGCTGCGTGATCGAATGGTAAAGCAGCTAGGATGCTCACGAACCAGTATAGAATTCCTACGAGGCAAAGACTTTACCCCGTTCCAGTAAAGTCTGGATTGGATGCTAAAGGATAGGCTTCGTCTCCTCAATACAAGGCTGAAAATCAGACCTCAAGAAATACTAAGAATGCCAGCAGTTTTGGCATAAAGGGGGATTTCGGTTGTGAATATAGGAAAAATTTG